CTTCCCATCCTTGATAGCTTGCAGATATTCTGGGCAGCTTCTCTTCGAATGCCCTATCGTGTGGCAGTGATGGCACTCTACCTCCTTTGTGTTAGAGTTGGGTTTAGTAGAACCAGCCTTGGTTCCACTAGAAGAGGTACCATCGTGGGACTTTCCCTTGTGGTGGCTCTTTGAGGGAGCCTTCCTCTTCTTGCCCTTCCCTTGCCCTATTTCCAAGACAGGGGCAGCAGCGAGAGTTGGATTTGATGCAACAGACTTATCTTTGAGATTGCTCTCAGTAGTCCTTAGCAAGCCTTGAAGCTTGCTCAAAGTGACCTCTTCCTTATTCATGTGGTAGGTCATGCGGAACTGGTTATAGCAGGGTGGCAAGGAGTGAAGGATGATGTCGATTGCCAGCTCTTCATCAAAGTTAACATTTAACTTTAGCAGGCGATCAACATATCTCTGCATCTTTTGTAGATGAGCGGTAAGGGAATCTCCATTACCCATTCAGGTAGTGATCATCGAAGTGATGATCTCATACCTTTCTTGCCTCGCACTTTGGTGGTACCGGTCCAGCAAGTCTTGATGCATTTCATAGGGATACATGTCCTCATAGGACTTCTAGAGTTCTGCAGTCATGGTCGCTAGCATGATGCAATGGAATTTTGTGGCATCACACTCATGGGCCTCAAAAGCGGCGATCTCTTCAGCAGAGGCAGTGTTGATGTTGATTTCCTTCAGCTTCTCATCGAGGACATACTCTTTGTCCTCGTAACGAGTGACCATTCGGATGTTGCGGATCCAATCATTCAAATTGGACTCGTCAAAAATCACTCTCCCACACAAGTTCATGAGTGAGAACGAGCCGGAGGAATTCGAGACGGAAGCATTGTTGTTGTTCGACATCTGAAAAGGAAAAAGAACAAAGTTTGATTAGAAATTAATCCCCAATTAAACACCCAAATGAGAAATTAGGACTAGGATCCAACAACACTATTTACAAATTGGAAAATGGATGTCATAATCTAACAAGTAAATAATTTGAAGGTAAGTGAATGACGATTCACTAATTTTCCACCATGAAAAACAAAAAAGAGATTAAGTTTTAAATGTATTGAAAATTCCTAGATCTTTTGAGATTCATTGAACTTTTCAATGGCATGTTTAAATCTCGATATGCCCCTCTAGTTTGTGACTGGGATGCCAAGGATCACAAAGCGGGTGTGAATAACCATGCAAATATACATGGTGCCCTCATTGTTACGGTCACCTATTCGATGTGCCGGTTAACCACACACACTCCATCGAACTATGACAAACAATGAGTCACCCTTTGCCACATTTTCTTAGAACCCAATTAGTGTGCCGGTTAACCACACACGCTCCACTAACGTCTTAGCAAGGGTACAAAGTGTAATTTCATGGAATTGCATCAATTCATTTTTGCCTAAAGTAACTAAGATTGAGAATTTTGTAAAAACATTTAGTTACTTTTATAATTCATTTATACTTATTCATGAGGAAAGGGTTGCCCTATCCTACCCGTTCGGCTAACGACCCTCCACCAATCAAGGAAGCGGTGGGTGAGAGTGGACACCCATTAAACGGCCATTTTATAGGCCATAACCTTATACCCCTCTTATAGATCGGCTTCGTGAATGAGGCCTACTAACGGCAAGACTAGCGTTTAAGTTATGCATATATATATATATATATATATATATATATATATATATATATATATATATATATCTTATAATATTATAAAGTATAAGGTTGAATTTTAAAACTTGTAAAATTCTAGGGTTTGAAATTTAAATAATTCAAATTAAACATTTAATCACAAAATTTAAATTTCAAAACTTGAGGACAAGTTTTGAACTTTTCAAAACATCAAGGATCAAATAGCAAATAATTTAAATTAAACATTTAATTTAATGATTATCTAAGTTTGACCTAATCAAATTTATTTACAAGATAATTCAATAATTAATTCAAATAATCAAATATTATCAAATAAGGAATTTATTATTCAAACAATTGGTAATTATCTTTTGATTTGGTAAGGATAATCATAAAACAACAATTATCCTTCCAGGATGCATACCGACCATATGTATAGATATACACAATGTGTATATTTATACAATATAAAATATCCCTATAATTGGGGAAAATATAACTACCAAATATAAATACAATCAAATCTACGAATAAGTAGTTATGCGTAACAACTAGAAACTTCATATCTGGTGGGAATATGAAACCTATAGTTTGCAAACAAGAAAGAACCTAAAAGTCAGAAGACAACGAAAATGACATTATATTAGGATCACTGATTGATTGAGAATACAATAGAAGGATACTTGAAACAAGTTTGCCAAAGGATAGTGAATAAACTACTATAAAACTAATGATAATATGAATTCTACAAAATCATAAATTGTGAAAGCAAAAGAAATTATACCATAGAACATAAAACCCCAATTTTCGATAATATGGGCATCGAATGGACTATCAAAATCCATGTATCTAAATAACACCAACTTCTTAGCACTCTTTGATGTAATATTAATTCTATTAAAACAATAGCACAATTTCAAAGCCAAAGTTTCCAACAGAGGACTCCCGGATAATTTTTTTTTTCAATCAAATCTTCATTTAGCTTACCATAGGAAATGCACAAACTCCTAAGATTTTTCCAACTAATCATCCTAATTGGAGTAAATATGCAATCTTTTAATTTCAGATCAGTAAAACATGTGTTGATCAAGAAAGTTTGATCTATCAAAAATTTTGCTTTCTCGGTAGGTAACCTTAAATTAAGCTCTTCAACATTACATCGGTAGGTAACCTTAAATTAAGCTCTTCAACATTAATTTAAGGAAATGCACCTTAAATTAAGCTCTTCAACAGTACACCTGGAATTTTTAAGCTTCAATTGGCGACATTGAGTTAGGATGTTGTCCACGCATAACGAGAAATCGGGCCATGTGTGACTACCATCATGTATAAAAATTAAATTAGGAACTAAAGTCCAAAGATGGTTCCATCGTTTGGAGAGTGTACCTGCTCTGATGGAGTCTTTTGTTGTGGGTAAACAAGAGAGAATTTCAAGAAACAAGCAATCTGGCAACGCAATGATTCGATCGTCTTCACCCTTATTCATGATTTTTTGAGATTTTCTCCGTTTTCGGGAGATTTTAGTTTGATTTTGAATAGAGCTCTCGTCACTTTACCACATCGAACACTGTGATAGAACTCTAATCAAGATTATATCCAAACAGATGATGAAATTTCAAATCAATAAAGTCCTAATTAATGTCGTGCCATTTGTCATCCTTTTAATTCTCTATTTCAAAATTTAAATTTAAAATTTCACATTTTAATTACATTAAATTAAAATAAAATTAGAATAAAAAATAATACATATTGTAAGATGATATAATTTCATTTGTTTATTTAAATCAACGATTAAAATTTTATATAACTAGAAAAAATGTCTTAATTAATAATTTATTAAAATAATTGATTAATAATTTTGAGTTTCTATTATGAAAGTTTAATTTAGTAATTGTGGTTCCACATGTTATAAACTAGTATGTTATAATATCTCAATCATTTTTTTTATAATTGGTTATAACACTAAATGTTAAAGAGTATCTTTAGGCAGTGGTTGTCAAATATTATTGTACCGGATAGAATTGGATTAGATGGAACCGAACGCAATTGGATATAACTAAATTAATTAGTTATATAAAGTTTGATTTGATTGGAACAAAATTGAACCAATTATTAAAATTACCCGATTGTTCTTAGGATTATTTATTCTTTTATCATATTATAATTAGGAAAAACTTTATAAATAATCATGTGGTTTCTAAAAAATTGAGTTCAACCCTTAAATTTTTACTTCATCAACATTGGTCCCTTGGATGGTCCTTATGGTTAACGCCGTCTGACGTTTGTTTTTTGTTTTTCAATTAAATCCTAACATTCGAAAGTACAAAACATTTTTATCAAGTGTCATTATAATACAACTCTTCATTAATATTATGCCATGTGTCATGTAGATATATATTAGGCAACTCATTTCAAAATTCAAACTTACATTTTCTAATTATACGTTAAATTTGAAGTTATAATAACTTTAAAATTTGATATATCTCTTAATTAATAATTTATTTAAAATGACTTATTTAAAATAATTGAGTAATAATTATAATTTTCTATTATAAAAGTTTAATTAATTTTATAACCGTGGTTTCAATGGCGTATCTAATAAAGAAGAAGGTAGGTCCTAGGACCTACCTAAAATTTCAATTTCATTTATAATATATATACCACAAAAATTAGAAACTATCTTAAAAAAAATAATGAACCTACCTTGAGTTTTTTTTTGTTTTTTAAATGTCTTAAAAACTATTTTAAAAGGAGAAAAAAATAAGTTACAAGGGACAATTGTGTTGTTAAATATATATGGTTAAATATATTATATGGTTTTTATCAAACAATATGGTATCGATGCACTAATAATCAACTAGTTTTCCATTAAATCGTTCGGTTTTTTCAGTTATATTTCAGTCGGTTTTTTTAAAATTTTATTTGGTGGTGCATGATAGGTTTTTTATGTTATATTTCATTAAATCATACAGGACCTGACCTGATCTCCCACAAATGTTGTTGATTTTTTTTATCGGCTTCACTTAATGTGGTTGATTTTTTCTGTTATATTTCATTAAATCATACAGGACCTGACCTGATCCCCCACAAATGTTGTTCTCATAATATTTTGTTCTAGATTCGCCATTGTGTGGTTTCCACAAGTTATAAACTAATTAATAATAATAAAAAAATAACCCCACTACCCCACCACCATGGCCATTGGCATGCCATTGAAAATGAAACAAGTAGTGTTTAAGAATAATCATGATGCAGAGATTATACGCTTCAATGACGTTGGATCGGTGGTGCACTAATCGGAGGAAGAGTTTGGTGAATACGATGATTTTAAGCCAATGGCGGAATCTGTCAGCCCTAGTGTTGTTGAATACAATCAAACAAAAGAGGGAAATACTGATTCGATGGATCAGAAATCAAGCCAAACCACAATGATTCCTGACGAAAATGCAGTTATTGGTGCGAAGCTGTTATGTGATGATGGTATTGAAAAGAATGATGACGAAAGCTTGAGTCTCGTCGGATCGGTAGTGAAGTCACCAGAGGATGAGTTTGGTGGTGTTGAAAAGGCTGCTTATGTTTATTATTAAGCCCAAGGTGGAATCTGCGATCCATAGTGTTGTCGATTACAATCAAACAAAAGAGCGAAATATTGAATTAGTTGATTAGAAGTTAAAAGGGGTAATGATTCTTGAACAAACTGCAACTATTGATAACAAGCATCAGATGTGTATGAAACTGAAACTGTTGTGTGATGATGGTATTGATGATTCCGAGTATGAATGTATGATCGGTTTCATAACCCTTTGATAAAATGTCAAGTTAGCAACAACAAGGTTGTTGGGTTTGTTCTCATTAATTCTAATGCATGAGTTATATGTTATTTACATTCATATTCAGTTGTTAATTGTAAAGTTTTGCAAGTTAAATTTCATCTGTTTGCTACAATAGTAACGTGTATGTTGTTTAACCAGATATTTGAGATTTTGAGATTGGTTTGCTAAAATGGTTGTTGCTGCAACTAAAACTTCTGCTGGTCCACGCTATGCACTAGAGAATCCAGTGACTAATTTCACCCAATATTAGAGGCCCTCAGTGCCCAAGGAGGATCCACCTCCACCAGAAATTCAGGTGCAGCCTTCTTCCCAAGATGACAATGGTATTGTTGTTGATGATATTGTTAGTTGTTACACATGAAAGAAGTGACAATGGTGGATCAAACTTTTCTTCCGAAACAAAGTGTCATTCTCATGAGGTTTGTGTTCAACCTATTTTGATTGTTACATAATTCCATATATTGTTCTTGATGAACTTATGACTTGTTCTAATCTTATGTTAGACTACAAAAGATACATATGATACCCCAAAAGAGACAGTTGCTTCTAAAGCTCATGTGATATGCCCACCAAAAACCCTAAATAAATAAACAAATAAAAAAAAAGACGGAGGGTGGCGGCAGTTCTGTGGTGGGTGTCGAGTATAGTGAAGAGGAGGAGGTGCTACATGGTGGGGGTAGTGGGGTTTTTTTCTATTTGTTTATTAATAAAATCAGACAAAACTTCAAGAATGGTCCCTATAGTATGGAAAAGACCATTTTACCCTCACATTAGTTAGACTTAACAACAAAGAACTAACGACGTTAGCCATAAGGACCATCTGATAAAAATTTTTAAACAACAACGACCGACGTTGATGGCCTAAAAAGTTAAGGATTTAACTTGACCTTTTTGAATACCACATGGACCATTCATGAAGTTTTTTCTTATAATTATAAACAAATGTCTCATCCAACAAAATAATAATTGTATATAAAAATGAAATTCCTAAACATAACGGTTATTTGATTTGTTTTGTATGAAGATGACATTCCTATAATTTGCTAGATTTTTCACAATACAATGATGAAATTGAAAGAAATGGAAGTATGAAGTTATAATGAACAAGTCAATGAAAGTATTTTGCATTTGGGAAATCTCTAAAGGGGAAATGTCACTATAGCACATTAGCTTTAGTCATTTGTATGATTTGGTCACTAAATTTTTCTTTTTGCGCAATACACCGTTAAGCTCATGATTTACCTTTCAATTAAGCCATTATTCTAGATTTTAAATTGTTTACCGATTACCATTCCTACGTGGATGCCTGATGTGTCAAAGATGCTTATGTGGACCTCCTATGTGGATGAGTGACGTGGTGAAGAAGCCCCATCAAACCAATGACCTTAATAAATAAAGCCCTCATTTGGACCACCAATTAACTAGTGTTATACCCGCCCGTTGGTCGGGTTGACGGATGTTGGTATGCTTTTTGGATGGATATGACTTTTTATTTTGATTATTTTTAGTTTCTGGATCAGTTCTTGGTTAGATCACTTAACACCATGTTGATTTTTTCAGTTTCTTGGCTTGATTTTTATTTATTTATTTATTTTTATTATTATTATTTTTTTTTGTCTTTTAGGAGATGATGTTGTTGGTGGTTGATAGTGGTTTGATTTCAATATTACAAGAATAAATGATTTTGGAGAAGATTGTGAAGTATGTATTTAATATTTGGTTTATGTTTCCATGATTTAGTCAAAATTATATACTCATAAACAATCATGTTTAAAAACGCCTGCTAATTTGTAATAATTCACAAACAAAAAACATAATTGTTTCCCACTTAGCGTCTCTATATTTGTTCCATATGTAGTATTATGCATTACATTTATTTTTTTGTTTCATCATTTCGGCATCCAATCTTTACCTATAATAACAACATATTTTCTCTTTTTACCAAGAGTGGTCGAACTTGAACTTTTGATATGCAGTATGATCTTTTAAAATCTTTATCAGTCGATCTCCTCCCTTTGTTTGCTTAATACATAACAAAAAAAAATGGGTTAAATGTTTGGAAAATAGTATGAAATTAGTGCAGTTATAGCATGGCTGCAAAAATATGAAAATCCATTAGCCAACATGAAGCGTCAATTAATATGCTGTAAGTTTTATGAAATTTTAATGATATTGCTTTATAATCTTTTGCAACTTACTTTAATTTACGACACTTTTGTTAGGCCATGGGGTATGGCATAGTTTTTGACGCGTAATAGGTAACGTGGAGGGGGGTATTTACGCGTGAACACCCTCCCCCCCTATGGTGAGTGTGACGCGGATTGATGGGTATCACGGATGGTTACGCCGAATCTGATTCGCCAAAACTGTTTGACCGTTTGGTTAATTAGAAAAAAACCTTTTCAATTTAATTCTTCTACTATATATACACAAACACATATCTCTCTACAAATAATATCTCTCTACTTTCTCATTTTCTCTCAAAAATATGGAGCAACATCAAAATACCTCTACCACTCCAAACACCCCAACAACCCCAAACACTCCAAATGATTAATATCAAGGTCACATTCAAATGCTAACATCCCCAATCCAACATCAACATCTATTTACCAACATTCCATTTCAACCAAACTACTTCCAACAACACATACCACAATCCTAATTCCAAGCTTTTCAACAATTTCAACCCCAACAATTCCAAACACAACCAATTTAACAATTCCAAACAAAACCATCTCAAGTCCCTTTTTCTCAATCCCCACCTATAAACCTGGACAACGACGACAACGACCGGGTCGAAGAAGCACAACCATCTAGGCGAAGGAAATCAAAAGGAAAAGCTACAAATAAAAGAGGAACGGCTTGGATCGACGAGGAGGAGGAAGCTTTAGCTAAAGCTTGGATTTCTATATCGTGCGACTCGAGGACGGGTAATGCTCAAACGGGAAACAGTTTTTGGCTTCGTGTTTTAGATCACTTTCACTCGCTCTTGGGAAGGCAAACGGGCCGAACGTATGACGCGATCAATGGAAAATGGCGTGAACTACGAGCGGCGTGCACCAAGTTTAACGACATATTTGAAAATCTGAAAAATATGCATAAAAGTGGCAGCAACGATTTCAATATTTTATCAACCAGTTGCCAACAATTCAAAGTTACCACCGGCGGTAAAGCGTTCAGCCACCAAAAAGCGTGGGAAATTTGTCGTAACCGTCCAAAATGGGTCCTTAACCCGGAGACTTCGCATTCGAGATCGACCACCCGCTCCAACAAAAGGCCAAGAACTTCTGAGTCGGATGTGGGTTTTGCTGTCGACCTCAATGACGACTTCGATGGGACCGTAGGGGAGGGTCCACCGAAAGTCCAACTTCGTCGACCACCGGGAAGGGATAAAGGGAAAAAAACGGCGTCTTCAAGCGAAAAAGCGATTAACGAAGACGTTCTTGTGGACATAATTGACAAAACTCTAATTTTTTTACAAAAAAAAATATGAGTCAACGGAGGATGCTCGGCGTCGGAAACAAGCACTCACCGATCTTCAAATTTTAAACATGAAGCTGCAACCGAATATCGACCCGGAAAATTTAGCCGCATTTCTGAAAATCCAACAAGAAGTTCAGGAAAAGTATGGAACTTAGGTTTTAATGTTTTTAATATTTATGTTTAATTTCTATGGTTTTTAGTTATTTAGGTTTTAAGTTTTATTTTTTATGGTTATTTGGAATCTAGATTTGAAATTTTATGTTTTATGTGTTTTTATGTAATGTGAAATATCTAATTATGTTATTAATTTAGGTTTTTTTTTTAATTTTAATCTATATATATATATATATATATATATATATATATATATATATATAAACATTGTATAGTGATAACCATTTCCAAGGCTAGTGAACATGTGGTGAACATGTAGTGGGGGGTGATGTGGCGCATACGTGGCATCACTTTTCTAGTAAATACATTGTGACCATACCCCATGGCCTTAGATGTGTTTGATTTATTAAGTAAAACATATAAATTAATAAAGCACTAAAAATTATAATATTTTACTTTAGAAGTCACATGAGAGAGAGAGAGAGAGAGAGAGAGAGAGAGAGACCATTGTCAATTTCACTTACGTTATGATGGAGTTCTTAGTTAAGCTCTGCTAGACAAGGTTCACACCCCTACAAGAAAAAAGAAAAGAAAACAATATAGTAATGCATATTTTCATGTTCTGTCTCTTTGGGACGATGTATAAGAAATTTGGCTATAATCAAATACAAAGCCCCATGTTATTCTCATGCTTGGATCATTTGTTAAACAACTTACTACTAACACTAACAGGTGCTTAATGTTCCAGATGTAATCAGAACCGACTAAAATCTATCAAACTTGGGCTTTACTAAAAGAATGACATCAGGATGATAATCACCTGAACAAACTCTTACAGCCACTGAACACAAATTTATTCATGTAAGAATAAAGAAGGGTATAGTTGTCTTTTACAAATTATTACTTATAATAACTTCAAGGACATTCAACAGCTTGTTCATAATAAAACTAATATTTCCTGAAGATGGAGACAATTTGAGGGGTTTTAGCAAAAAAGGAAACATGATAATATAAAGCTAAATTTTTATATTCAACTATTTGCCCCTCCTACAAATAGCAATTTGCAGAGCATATGACTAACGTTATGTTTCTATTTGACTTTATTGAACATGACTTAACCTCATAAGCTATATATGGCCATATGGATGTTACTT